CGGGACCAAGTGGACCTAGTAGACATCTACAGAACTCTCCACCCCAAAACAACAGAATATACATTCTTCTCAGCACCACATCGCACTTATTCTAAAGTTGACCACATTGTTGGTAATAAAACACTCCTCAACAAATTTAAAAGAACAGAAATCACAACAAACTCTCTCTCAGACTACAGTGCAATCAAATTAGAACTCAGGATTAAGAAACTCACTCAAAACCACACAACTACATGGCAACTGAACAACCTGCTCCTGAATGACTACTGGGTAAATAAAATAACAAAATGAAGGGAGAAATAATGATGTTCTTTGAAACCAATGAGAACAAAGACACAATGTGCCAGAATCTCTTGAACACATTTAAAGCAGTGTGTAGAGGGAAATTTATAGCACTAAATGCCCACAAGAGAAAGCAGAAAAGATCTAAAATTGACACCCTAACATCACAATTAAAAGAACTAGAGAAGCAAGAGCAAACACATTCAAAAGCTAGCAGAAGGCAAGAAATAACTAAGATCAGAGCAGAACTGAAGGAGATAGAGACACATAAAACCCTTCAAAAAATCAATGAATCCAGGAGCTGGTTTTTTGAAAAGATCAACAAAGTTGATAGACCACTAGCAAGATTAATAAAGAAGAAAAGGGAGAAGAATTAAATAGACACAATAAAAAAATGATAAAGGGGATATCACCACCAATCCCACAGAAATACAAACTACCATCAGAGAATACTATAAACACCTCTACGCAAATAAACTAGAAAATCTAGAAGAAATAGATAAATTCCTGGACACACACACCCTCCCAAGACTAAACCAGGAAGAAATTGAATCTCTGAATAGACCAATAACATGTTCGAAATTGAGGCAATAATTAATAGCCTACCAACCAAAAAAAGTCCAGGACCAGACGGATTCACAGCCAAATTCTACCATAGATACAAAGAGGAGCTGGTATCATTCCTTCTGAAACTATTTCAAACAATAGAAAAAGAGGGAATCCTCCCTAACTCATTTTATGAGGCCAGCATCATCGTGATACCAAAGCCTAGTAGAGACATAACAAAAAAAGAGAATTTTAGGCCAATATCCCTGATGAACATCATGTGAAAATCCTCAAAAAATTACTGGCAAACCGGATCCAGCAGCACATCAAAAAGCTTATCTACCACGATCAAGTCGGCTTCATCCCTGGGATGTAAGGCTGGTTCAACATATGCAAATCAATAAATGTAATCCATCACATAAACAGAACCAATGACAAAAACCACATGATTATTGATGCAGAATAGATGCAGAAAAGGCCTTTGACAAAATTCAACAGCCCTTCATGCTTAAAAAAACTCTCAATAAACTAGGTATTGATGGAATGTATCTCAAAATAATAAGAGCCATTTATGACAAATCCACAGCCAATATCACAGTGAATGGGCAAAAATGGGAAGCATTCCCTTTGAAAACCCGCACAAGACAAGGATGCCCTCTCTCACCACTCCTATTCAACATAGTGTTAGAAGTTCTGGCCAGGGCAATCAGGCAAGAGAAAGAAATAAAGGATATTTGATTAGGAAATGAGGAAGTCAAATTGTCCCTGTTTGCAGATGACATGTTGTATATTTAGAAAACCCCATCGTCTCAGCCCAAAATCTCCTTAAGCTGATAAGCAACTTCAGCAAAGTCTCAGAATACAAAATCAATGTGCGAAAATCACAAGCATTCCTATACACCAATGATAGATGAACAGAGAGCCAAATCATGAGTGAATTCCCATTCACAACTACTACAAAGAGAATAAAATACCTAGGAATGCAACTTACAAGGTATGTGAAGGACCTCTTCAAGGAGAATTACAAAGCACTGCTCAACGAAATAAAAGAGGACACTAACAAATGGAAGAACATTTCATGCTTATAGATAGGAAGAATCAATATCATGAAAATGGCCATAATGCCCAAAGTAATTTATAGATTCAATGCTATCCCCATCAAGCTACCAATGACTTTATTTGCAGAATTGGAAAAAACTACTTTAAAGTTCATATGGAACCAAAAAAGAATCCGTGTTGCCAAGACAATCCTAAGCAAAAAGAACAAAGCTGGAGGCATCACACTACCTGACTTCAAACTATACCACAAGGCTACAGTAACCAAAACAGCATGGTACTGGTACCAAAACAGATATATAGACCAATGGAACAGAAAAGAGGCCTCAGAAATAACACCACACATCTATAACCATCTGATCTTTGACAAACTTGACAAAAACAAGAAATGGGGAAAGGACTCCCTATTTAATAAATGGTGCTGGGAAAGCTGGCTAGCCATATGTAGAAAGTTGAAATTGGATCCCTTCCTTACACTATACACAAAAATTAACTCAAGATGGGTTAAAGACTTAAATGTAAGACCTAACACCAGAAAAACCCTAGAAGAAAACCTAGGCAATACCATTCAGGACATAGGCATGGGGAAAGACTTCACAACTACAACACCAAAAGCAATGGCAACAAAAGCCAAAATAGACAAATGGAATCTAACGAAACTAAAGAGCTTCTGCACAGCAAAAGAAACTATCATTAGAGTGAACAGGCAACCTACAGAATGGGAGAAAATCTTTGTAATCTACCCATCTAACAAGAGCTAATATCCAGAATCTACAAAGAACTTAAACAAATTTACAAGAAAAAAAACAACCCCATGAAAAAGTGGGCAAAGGGTATAAACAGACACTTCTTAAAAGACGACATTTATGCAGCCAACAGACATATGAAAAAATGCTCATCATCATTGGTCATCAGAGAAATGTAAATAAAAACCACAATGAGATACCATCTCACGCCACTTAGAATGGCGATCATTAAAAAGTCAGGAAACAACAGATACTGGAGAGGATATGGAGAAATAGGAACGCTTTTACACTGTTGGTGGGAGTGTAAATTAGTTTAACCAATGTAGAAGACAGTGTGGTGATTCCTCAAGGATCTAGAACTAGAAATACCATTTGACCCAGCCATCCCATTACTGGGCATATACCCAAAGGATTATAAATCATTGTTACTATAAAGACACATGCACACATATGTTTATAGTGGCACTATTCACTATAGTAAAGACTTGGAACCAACCGAAATGTCCATTAATGATAGAATAGATAAAGAAAATATGGCACATATACACCATGGAATACTATGCAGCCATAAAAAAGGATGAGTTTATGTCCTTTGCAGGGACATGGATGAAGCTGGAAACCATCATTCTCAGCAAACTATCACAAGGACAGAAAACCAAACACCGCACATTCTCACTGATAGGTCAGAGTTGAACAATGAGAACACATGGACACAGGTCGGGGGACATCACACACCAGGGCCTGTTGGGGGCTGGGGGGCTGGGGGAGGGATAGCATTAGGAGAAATACCTAATGTAAATGACGAGTTGATGGGTGCAGCAAACTGACATGGCACATGTATACCTATGTAACAAACCTGCACGTTGTGCACATGTACCCTAGAACTTAAATAAAAAAAAAAAAAAAAACTAAAAACATACATACACACACAAAAACCAAAGGAAACTCCCTATCTCTATGCAGCCATAGTTCTGCTTCTCATTATTTTTCATATAAACTATTTGCTGTAGCTTCCTAATAGTCATTAGGCTATCATAATCATTAAGCGGTTAATTTCTCAAAACGATATACACATGCCCTATCCCTCTCCCAAGCTCAGGGCCCTCCATTTCTCAACACTGTTTATAGTCTTAATAAGATGTTCAAATGCAATGTGAGCTCTCTAACTTTCCCTCATACTCTTCCCAAAGATCTTTGGGTTATCGTCCACCATATTCCTTTTCTCTTCCGCCTAAAAGAGTAAGTTAACCTTTTCTTTGGGAGAATTACTTAGTATCTTATACACAATAAACCACTTGTTTACGTCTTTTTTTTTTCTTTTTTGAGACAGTGTCTCGTTCTGTCACCCAGGCTGGCATGCAGTGGCACCATCTCGGCTCACTGCAACCTCTGCCTCCCGGGTTCAAGCAATTCTCCTGCCTCACCCTCCCGAGTAGCTGGGATTACAAGTGCATGCCACCACGCCCAGCTAATTTTGTATTTTTTAGTAGAGACGGGGTTTTACCATGTTGGCCAGGCTGGTCTCGAACTCCTGACCTCAGGAGTTTGATCCACCTGCCTCAGCATCCCAAAGTGCTGGGAATACAGAGAGCCACCACGCCCAGCCTGTTTACGCCTTTCATCTCTCTTTTCTTCTCCTTAAGAAATTTTCCGTCAACCAAAATATTTTGTTTTCTCTTTCTTCAAAATATTCATGTAAGCCTCTTTTTTCTCTGAGGGATGTTTTTGAAAAAGTCCATAATTGCTACCTCTAGTTTCTCATAATCCACCTCTTTCCAATGCCATGTAGTCTAGTTTTACTAGTTTAGCTGAAGCTGTCCTCTTGAATGTCACAAATGACTTCCAAGCCAGCCTTTCCCAATTGGGTTTACATCAGAGAATTAAACCCTATAGAAAATCATTTCAATTATTTAATAATTCTCTGAAGAGTAGCAAAGCTAGGACTATTTTCCATAAAGTATTTGCCAGCTCTGCAACATTATAAGATCTGTATTAAATCCCTATCCCATATTCCTCATGATCATCCCACTTCTCTGATAAACCCTAACTGATATAAATCAGCTACAGATTTACTTATTTTTGTGACATCTGCCCTAATGATATAGGCCCTGCTGGTCCTGCCAACTTAATATTATAAATCAGTCTTCAGGAGATAAGTCCCTGTTTTTTGTTCTAACTCCCATTTACCAAAGACTACTTGAGACATTAAAACCAAACTTTAATTAAGCCACAGGAGAGCATCTGTTTACTTAAGACAATTAAAAAAATTAATAATAACTCCATGTATTTTTCTCATACTCCATTTTCTATTATGAGTAAACAGCTTCATAGAAACAAAATAAAATCCAAAACTAAAGAATAAAAATTTACCTCTGTTTAAGGTGCACAGTGTACGGTTTCTCATCTATTGGAATAATATAGGATATTTGTTCCTAGAGAATTGAAAACAACCGAGAGTGAAGACAAATTCAATACAAGAAGCAAAACAATAGTTTTATATCAATTAATCTCTTCCAACAATGCTTAAAACATCTTCATTACATTTCTCAGACTACATGTGATTTAAAATCTGCAGCAAAACATCAAAAAAATAAATATTTATTTTATAATGGACTTTTACTATTTCCACACAAATAAACCCAGTCTAAGGATTGACATAGGATTAAAAATCTACCTGTAACTAACCTGTAACCTCTTATGAATGAATAGGCCACGCGCTACGCTAAAATATCTATTTAGGTGGCATCATTGGGATAAGAGGATAGTCCACATCAGTGAAGCTTACTCTGTCCATCATAAAAATTATTTAACCATTTTCTTAAAAACTCTCCTAAGATGTATTGCCTTTTCCCTATATTTTAAACAGATTATTGAACAAAATTTAATATTGTCTTTGATTTTATCTCTACTATTTTCAAGTTAGAATATGAATGACAATAGGTTGGAATATCTGTATGTCAGTGAACCTCAGTGATGAGATTTTGTACAGCAAAAGGGAACATGTGAAAAGCAAGAGTTAGAGAAACAGAGGAAAAAATTAGTTAAAACGTATAAAAATGAAAAGGACACAAATATCAAAACACAGAAAAAAGATAAGCATTCCAGGATCTCTGAAAATAAGAAGCAACCAGGGTACCATACAGATCAAAGAAGAATGAGGTAGGTTGTTGCCAGGTCAGAAATGAAACCAGAGTCAATATCATTGGTGGTAAGTCAACTTGATATCATGTACCCTACGATACGATGTCATGAGGAGAGCACCTCATCTCTATGTTAATCTTCCCTAAAATTCACTGAACATGAGAAAATATTGACAAATGCAAATCGAGGGGTGTTCTACAAAGTACCTGACCTCCTCAGAACTGTCAAGGTCATGAAATTCCAGGAAAGACTGAGAAACAGAGCAAAGGAGCCTGAGAGGGGGGCATGCTGGGTAGTATCGTGGATTGGATCCCAGAACAAAATGGACAGTAGAAGAAAAACTGGTTGAAATCCAGAAATCTAAATAAAGCAGTTTCCTTACTAGTAATGTATCAATATTAATTTCTTGTATTTAATAAATATCATGTATCCATGTAGCTATATAAGAGCTAACATTACAGGAAACTGAGTGAACAGTATATATGGGAACTCTGTAGTCTTTTAGCAATTTTTCTGTATATCTAAAATTCTTCCAAAATTTCAAAAGTTAATTTTTAAAAAAGAAAAACCAGATATAAATTGAGAAAAGAACCAAAACAGGCATATGGCAAATATAAAGCAGAAGCACCAAAGAGAAAATCCTAATCCTGAAACATCAGCGCATCCTACTTTTTAAATTTGCATTGGTGACACTAGCTCTTTAGTGAGCCTGATCTGAATGTGATAACTGAACACAGATGCTTGAGCATCTTTATATTTTTATTTATTTTTTTATTTTTTTGCAACAGAGTTTCACTCTTGTTGCTCAGGTTGGAGTGCAATGGCGCCATCTCAGCTCACAGCAAATTTTGCCTCCTGGGTTCAAGTGATTCTCCTGCAGCCTCCCAAGGAGCTGGGATTACAGGCATGTGCCACAACGCCCGGCTAATTTTGTATTTTTAGAAGAGATGGTGTTCCTCCATGCTGGTTAGGCTGGTCTCGAACTACCAACCTTAGGTGATCCGCCCGCCTCAGCCTCCCGAAGTGCTGGGATTACAGGCGTGAGCCACCGTGCCCGGCCCCATCTTTATCTTATTTTAAGGTGGATTTGATGTGCAAGCAGTTTCCCTGAGCAGTTCTTAGATGAATATTTTTCTCAAAACCAAAACTTAGTAACCATTATTAGTATCCCAGATAATACTTCTTTTAGCTATACTTTCACTATGGGTGTTATCATGAAATACCTTGATTTGCAGGCTATATAGAGAAGTTCAGGTAGATCTTAGAGTGTAGATGAGTTGATTAATGGAGGCCATAAGATAATTTACTAAACAATTACGGTAAATTTGTGTTTGCCTCCTCAACAAAGAGGTACCAAAACAGTGAGCAGATAAGTACATGTCAAACAGAGAATCTAGGAGAGAAAACTAGAATTTCAAAAGGGAAGGGACAGGGAACCTCTGAGGCCTGGAAGGAAAGGGAAGCAAAGAAGCAGCTGGGCTGGCCAGGAAAAGTCCCCATTGTAGAGAAGAAGCAAGCGAGAGGTATTCCACGGTCCAGGGTCCCTCCATGAATGCCTGCAATACAAGCCACAGGGGAGCCCCTGACCCTTCACGGGCCCTGCCTAGCTGCACTCCTGGTGACTGAATTGTTTCAGAGGGAATTCACACTGAGTCCCACTCACCCTTCGATACCCAAGCAGAGGCAGCACAGCCCCATGTTGAAAGACCAGCCCCAGCAGATCGCATCCTGCCCTGGGACCCAGCAGACCCATTTCCACAGCCCTGGAGCCCTGCTGACATCCCATGTCCACCCACAGGGCTATCACAGCACAATGCCAGCTGAACAAGTGGGGCACCTGGGTCCCCAGCACTCTAGCCCACAAAGTGTACTACGCCCCAGAGAAGGGGTGATGTAGCACATTGGGAAGACTGCCCCCAGGACAAAGGGAGATGAAGCATGCACTCCCCAGAGCCTGAGAGCCACATGCCTGGGGCTGCCAACACTGACGGCAACCCCACACGCTCCCAGCAGCAGGGCCACAGCACAGTAGCATGGGCCTTCAGTAAGCCTGAGGACTGGCCCATCCAAACGCAGTCCTTGGGCCTGAGGGCAAGCTCAGGCCACCCAACACCCCTGGTGCCTACATGCACTATCCAGGGATCTGATATCTGGCCAGCCCCATCTGCTACCAGCACCAGTGCCCATGCATGCCTCCCAGGGGCCTGGAAAATGGCCCACCTAGCCTGCCACAACCCCGACCAGTGCCCACCCACATGCACCAGCCAGGAGCCTGGAACTGGCTGACCTAACCTACTGCCACCACTAATGGTGTTCACATGCACCACCAGACAGCCTGAGGACTGGCCCACTGCTGCCACTGCCACTGCTGCTGTCACACACTGCCCAGGGCCCCATCCACCTGACCTGCCACTGCCACCACTGTGGACTGGCTTGCCTGGTTCCCCCATCCCCAGTAAAGCCTCACCACAGTCCCCAGTCACAAACATAGCCTAATCTACTGGGAAACTCACAGTCATCACTGATGTTGATTATAGTTGAAGAAATCATGTAGATATTACATCTCTGCACATGACAACAATATCTGCTTCTGATGTGAGTCTCAAGAAGCTTCCAACTGTGGTGGAAGGCAAAGGGGAGCAGATCACATGATGAGAGAGGAAGAGAGAGAGAGGGGGAGGCGCCAGTTCTCAACTAATAGATCAAGAATTCACTAATTACCATGAGGATGCCACTAAGCCATTCATGAGGGACATCATGACCCAAACACCTCCAATAAGGCCCCACCTCCACCACTGGGGTCCAATTTCAACATGGGGTTTGGGAGAACAAACATCTAAACAATGGCATGGTCAGAAAAAAAAATATTTGAACAAATAATGGCCAAAACCATCCAAAATTTGAGGGAAAACATTAGTCTACACATCTAAAATCTCAGTCAACCTCAAGTAGAAAAAAAATACAAGAAGATACACACCAAGATACATCATTTAATATGTTGAAAGTCAAACATAAAGAGAAAATCTTGAAAATATCAAGAAAAAAACTCATCATGTACAAGGAAGTTGTATTAATACAATTAGTGGCAGATTGTTCATTTGAAATAATGTAGGCCAGAAGGCAGTGAAGACATAAAAAGTGCTGAAAGAAAAAAAAAATCTATCAACTAACAATTTTATATCCAGCAAAATCTGTTTTTAAAATGGTGAAATAAAGTCCTGTCTCACAAGAAATACTGAAGAAATTTATTTTGGCTAATAGGAAATAACACTAGATGGTAACTCAAAAAGCAGGGTAAATTTGTGAGCTAACATAAAAGACTTTAATAGTTTTTCTAATTTCTCCTTTCAGTGTCTTTAAAAGATATAGCACTGTGAAAAAGCAATAACTATGATGATATATATTTGGGTTTAAAAAATATGGATGTAATAATGTGACAAGAACAGTACAGAGAAGAAAGAATTCCATTATATAGGAGCAAAGTTTCTATATTTTATCAGAAATAAATATTAATCTAAAGTAAATCATGATATTTAAGATATGTTATAATACCTGGATCACCACAAAGAAAATAAGTAGTAAAAATAGCAAAATATTGAGTATAAATTCAACCATATAAATACCTATATTTGATGCAAATGATCTAAAAATCCAAACCAAAAAGCAGAGACAGATTGTACAATGTATTAAAAACTAACCTCCAATTGGGCCAGGCGCAGTGGCTCATGCCTGTTATCCCAGTACTTTGGAAGGCCGAGGCGGGCAGATCACCTGAGGTCAGGAGTTTCAGACCAGCCTGACCAACATAGAGAAACCCTGTCTCTACTAAAAATACAAAATTAGCCAGGCGTGGTGGTGCATGCCTGTAATCCCAGCTACTTAGGAGGCTGAGACAGGAGAATCACTTGAACCCAGGAGGCGGAGGTTGCGGTCAGCCGAGATCGCGCCACTACACTCCAGCCTGGGCAAGAAGAGCAAAACTCCATCTCAAAAAATAAAAAGTAAAAAATAACCTCCAATTACATGCTGTCTACAAGGGGAACACCTTAGATTCAATATCCAAATAAGTTGAAAATAAAAGAATGGAAATATATATATTGTAAAAAGTAACCATAAAAAGAAGTTATACTAATATCAGACAATATAGGCTTTAAGACAAGAAATATTGTCAGAAAGAAAGAAGGACGTTTCACAAAAGTAAAATCATCGCTGTATCCCAAAGACATAAAAATTATAAGTGCACACACATTAAACACCAAGCCTCAAAATACATGAAAGAACAAGTGACAGA